AACAAGGTTAGATCACATAATAAAGATTAGCTAGGTTAGAGATCTCGCATTTAATTCACTGATTACTGATTTAATTCACTAATCACCCAGTGACCCAGATACTTGGCACTGATATTAGTGATTATCCACTGATTTAGAGAGTAAGAATAGAAAATTCGTCTTTTTTTTAATTTAAACAATTTACATTGATTTATTGAAACATACTTTTATTTGCAATATATCTGTTTTGTGAAGTAAAAGAATAATTTTCGGAATCGTCGTACGACATAAAATATAAAATATCTTATATAAGATCGATAGTTATCAAAAAGTTTACTTGATAAGTAACATGTACTTTTATCTCATGTTTTTTAGTAATAATCTGTATTATGAAGTGTATTGTTAAATATATTGGATATGCAAAAGTTTACAACTTTACACACATAACAAGAACAGAGAAAGATCTTTTTCATGGCTGTAACAGATTTCCTAATTTTAATAGTCGTCAACTTCGATTAATATCTCGGTTGACGGGCAGAGCGACACTTTTTTCTGCAACAATTTCATTTCACGAAAAAACGCGTTGATTGGTATATTTTTTTGATCCGTTTTTGTGATTGTGTATGTAGATTAAACAATATCCAGATTAATTTGCATAAAGGGTCAGTAGAAAGATCCAGTACTACCGGTTTTGATCGATGGTCGCTGTCAACAAATCCATTTGATAGAAACCCATTTGATAGAACTGCGTTTCGTTCAACACACGATGCGTATATGTCATTTTATCCTTGTTGTTCACCGACTATTAAATAAAGATGAAATGATACGGAACACACTCCATGATTTCAATTAGCGCTATTTATGTCATTATTATACTTGTTTTACATCTATCTTAATAACGGTTGAATTGATCACGTACCACGTATACTCAATGAGTATACGAAACGAAAGCGAAGCGTTATTTTGAATTTACGGTGTGCCGTGAGTGAAAATTAAGATCAAATTTTAAGAAATGGAGCAAGTAAGAGAGAGTAAGTAATAACAATTTTTCTATAAATTAAATTTTTTTAATAGGAGATACATGCCTTTTAACGGTCTAGCTAGAGATTCTAAATTAAATTTTTTTATTTTATACTGTTATTTTGTATTGTTATTTTATTAATTCTTTGTGATAATACTTGTATTGAGTAAGGTAATGCAATTTTGTAATGTAATGTTCGGAGATAATAAGTTTTGAAGAAGAATTAAGTAATTGTTATTTTAGTCGAAAGAGAAAGTGTCTTTGAATGGATTGTGTTATAATAATTTCTTTTAAGAACAATTAAAGTTATTTGGATTGGAATAGGAAAAACTTTCAATAGGAATAATAAGGATACATACTCGAGTTTCATTATATAAAAATTAAAGATGATATCACTTGGATTATATTCATTATTTAATTTGATATAGGATTTAACTAAGCCTCAGTTGTTGATATTAAATATCTTTTATATAAATGATATATATCATTAGAGTACGTAAATAATAAAATAGTACCACTTCGATTTTATTTTTTTAATTTCGTATAATAATTTTATTTTTTCGAAGAAAATTTTTTAGCACTTTTTTTTACTGTTTTGAAAAGGTAAGTAAGTATAAATTATATATCTAAATGTATTATATATATGGATATAAATTTATAGCGTATTAGGGCTCCTATAACTTTATAGCGATTTATAGCGATAAGATTTTTCATGCACTTTATATCTGTAAAGATTTTTATATTTTATACTTATAATGATTTTTATATTTTATACTTATAATGATTTTTTATACTTTATTGCGCATGTAATATATAATAGCCCATTTAATTAGTTATTAATAAAAAAATAAAATTTTATCAATCTATTTTCAAATTAAGTTTTTAGGGCTCTTATAGATAAGCGACTTTGCAGTGCCACAATTGAAAGCGCCGATCCGTTAATACGGAGTTATTCTGTATGTTATAGAAAAGTGTCATGAATATGTTCATGTGGGTTATTTCGTGGCGCGAAAAGTGTTGCTAAAAAGTCGCTCGTCTATAGGAACTCTAAAAACTTAATTTTAAAATTTAATAGATTGATAAAATTTTATTTTTTTCATTAAAAACTAATTAAATGTACTGTTATGTAGTATATGTAAAATAAAGTAAAATCATTATAAGTCTAAAATATAAAAAACTTTATAAATATAAAATATATGAAAAATCTTTATATATATAAAGCATCTTTGTCTTTATTAGATTAACGAAACTTTAACTTTTATTTTATTTTTAATAATTAAATTCGTTACATTTTTTTGTGACGTTTGTCACAAAATTGAAGTAAAATTGTCACGATGATAATGCATGTACTTTTTATCTTGTTATTACTTTTACGTAATATAATGAGCTTATTATCGACAAAGAGTTCTTAATTTTCCGCAAAAATAGGATCGAGGAAAAAACGAGGTTTTTCCGGTTTTTTCCAGTTTTTTTCTGAAAAATACGAAAAAATGTTAAAATTGCTCTCTTAAGTAACATTACAATCCGAAGCGCCACTACGGTCTAAGTATTAAGATGTTGAACTAATATATATATTATTCAAACGAATGAATTAATTTCAGAAATAATAATTACGTGTCGATATGGTTGTCGACATTAACGCAATTAATCCGAAATGTAATAATCCCCCCCAAAATTCCCCAAATTAATCTTAAAAAACTGTAATAAACTTATTTTAATATAAACGGTCTTGTTTCCTGTCTTATTGCTCTCTTAAGTGTTCTTAAGTTTCCGGAAAAATAAAATCGAGGAAAAAACTCAATTTTTTTCATTTTTCACCAAAAAAAATTCTTTCAATAGGTTCTTTTTGGTTTATATTTGAATTTAATGATAGAATGTTGCTTTAAAAAATCATTTTAAATTATTTTATACGCAAAAAAATAGAAGATTTGTCTCCGTTTATGCATTATTACATAAATAACAGGTTTTTCGGGTATTGAGCTAATCAAGCTGAAATTCAATAATCAGTAACAGTATAAGATATTTATTTTTATTATTATTTGTATATTCTGTGATAACGAAGTACAAAATACTAATATTTTTTGTTACACAAAATACATCTACATATATCTGTAATACTCTTATAAAAAAGTACTTGTTTAAATTTTTTAATAAATTTTTTATCTGTTTTATACGTATACATATATTATATATTTTTATATATGCATATTTTTTTTATAACACAATAAGTTTTGCGATATATAGTATAAAACATTAAATTTATGACAATATCACGTCTATAGTTTCTTTTTTTAATTAATCTTCAATTACATATCTCGTTTAAAAATTTTTAACTTTACATGTCTGGGTCCATAATTCACCTACGGTCTCTAGCTCTGTAATTACGATAAATGATCTCAATAAAAAATTTTTTTCTTAATATACCAGAATATATAAAATCGAAATATCGAAATATAAAAAGATTTTTTAATAATTTGTGAAAAAGTTGTGCCAAAAAATACTAAAGAACAATTTGTGAAAAGAGTGCAGTAATCAGTCTTTTTTTTTTTCAAAAAATTCTATCTTTATGATAAAAAAAATACAGATAAAAGTAAGTAGTGTTTCGAAAAGAACAAAATTTTAAGAAAAAAAAATACATTACATTGATTCATTCCAAAAAGTATAATTAGTTGTACAACTGAAGTGAGCACTTTTTACGTAAGTTCGGAAAAAATGATGTCGGATTTATGTCAAGTATTTTCTTCTTTAAAAAAATGCTATGAAAATATTTCATATTAAATACGTAATGATTTCAACATTATCTACTCACGATTTAATTCAGAGAAAATAGAGGGATCGTTTTACCAAGACGCTTCTCTCGCAAGAACGAATTTTTTGACAATAAACATATGTTTTAATTATAAGAAGACAACATATATTCTTGAATACAGCACCAATAAACAGGCACTTACTGAAAATAAATTTTCACTTTCGACAAAAATCTGTCGAATTTATAATACATTTGACGGATCCAAGTCACTCAAGCCAAACTTTTATTGCATCACAATTAGCGTCAAGGCAACCATGAAGCAATTACATAACAGCGATTGATAGAGAAAGTTTTTTTACCTCTTTATTTAAACTTTGCAATATTAACCGTACAAAAATAGCAGATTAAAATTTTTACCCGGGTCCAAATGACCTATTCATGTAGTTCAGGGTTAATATCCAATGTCTGCAATAAAAGAGAGCGAGACGGGGAGGGGGTAAAAATTTATTCATAAATTCAAAAAAATTTCATAAATGATCATAACAGAGAACTTTATTCATAAATGGATAATTTTGCAATAAGTTTATTACAGTTTTTTAAGATTAAATTTGAGAGGATTATTAATATTTCAGATGGATTGCGTTGGAAATCCAGCAGTAACAGCGCGTAATCATATTTCTGAAATAAATTAATTTAAAATAAGATCTGTATTATTTTAAATTTAATTTTTTTCGTTAAGTGGCGCTTTTCATATTTGTACTTATTTAAAATCTAATCTTTTTTAATCCTAATCTTATTAATCTTTATTCATAAATGATTTACTTATTAGAATTCTTAAAAGTAAAAGAAATTAGTAATTTAATGAAATTATTTACATAAAGGAATAAAAATAAAATTATCTTAATAGAAAAAAGTCTGGAAAGATATGATAAGTAAAAAACCGGAAAAAAACGGTTTTTTCCTAAAATTTCCAAGAATTTATTCGGACTAAGAACACTAATAGACAATAATTATAAGTTGTGTTCAAGGAGCGCTATCAGCATTGTTGTGTCATTTATCTTTATTGTTCATTAATCGTAAAACAACGGTAAAATGATGCAATAGCTCTGATAACGCGTTCCTTGAACGCAGATTATAGTTATTGTCTCTCGATAATAAGCTTTTAATTATTATGTATACGAAAAAAAGGATAGAACCGATGGATATATATATATTAATAGAAACGAATATCGATGCATTGTTATCATTGTGCGCCAAATTATAAAACAGTCGACATACGTTCATTGCAAGGAACAAGCTTCTTTACGCTTTTTGTCAGTAAAACACTTGATACGATACTTACACATTATACGGTGCAAGTCACAATATTGATCATTTACAAAAGTTACTTGCTACGATAAATTAGCATCCTGATGATGGAGTTTTATTGGAAATTCTATGAGAGTATAAAAGAAGGTATGTTGAAAGTTAAAATTAATATTAATTAAATTAATTATGGATTAATGAAACATTTACGACTATCATTTCTACCATTTTAATTATACAGCAAATATACATATAAATAGTAATGCATTAAATATTAAAAGATATATTTATTATAGGATGATTAGGAAACATTTTCTTTATGTTATATTTTGTACGTATACGTATAAACATTAATATTACGTTAAATAAAATTGAAATAATTTATATAAGACAATATCTTGTAAAATTTTTACTATGCAAGATATCGCTATAGATATCGTTATAGATCAATGAATCAGAATTTGTAGATACATACTTCTAAATTTTTTATTTTTTTATTGATAATTTTATTCTGGTATGTATTCTTTTTTTCCAACATTATATAATTTAGTAATTAAATTATGTGTATATAAAATTTTGTTTAATTATGTCTATCATTAAAGAGATGTTGAAAGATGAAGATTTTGGGAAAAGAGAACGAACGAAAGAGAGAGAGAGAGAGAGAGAGATCCAGAAATTTCCATTTATAACATAAAGGAATCTTTTTTCTTTTAATTAAAACGGTTTTATATTAAAACCGGATACAGAGTTTATTGTTTATTTTCGGCAAAAAGAAATATATTTTTAAAGGAGGATGTTAAAAAGGAGACCGATTTTTGCTCACAAAAATATAAGTAAAAGGAATTTTTTATAGATTTTGACTTTCTGAATAATGATACGATAATGATACGATAAAATGTTCGAGATCGATAGGGAACACCTTGAAAATTGAGCATGAACGTGACATATTTAAATAAATTTCGATATTTTTGTTTACTTTTCAAGATGTTCCCCAAATGCGTCGAACTTTCTAAATAATTTTAATCTATTCAGAAAGTTAAAATCTACAAAATGCTATTTCTTTTACATACACCTTTTTGGACAATAATCTGTTTTTTTTTTTTAAGGATATTAAAAAAGGTCCGACTTTTGTCCAAAAAAATGTAAGTAAAAGAAATAATGTTTTTTATAGATTTTGACTTCCTGAATATGATAAAATGATTAAAGAGTTTATGGCATTTGGGATAGATAGAAATAGAATATCGAAATTTGTTTAAATATATCATGTTCATGCTCAATTTTCAAGGTGTTCCCTATCCATCTTGAACTTTTTATTAACATTATCATATTCAGGAGGACAAAATCTATAAAAAACTATTTTTTTTTTACTTACACCTTTATGAGCAAAAATCGTCCTCTTTTTAACATTCTCCTTTAAATTTGGAATAAAATCTTTGCCATAGTGCGTGTTTAGGTTTTTGATATTTAACTTAATAATGCTTTTGCAAAAAAAAAAATAAAATATGTTTTATGTAAAACATTTTACAATTTCAATAAGAGAGATCAACAAAGTTTTTATAAAATATTTTATATTATATATGAGTTGCTTTTAGTATTTCTCGTTAAATTCATTATTACCTTTATTTAATATTTTATATAAAGATATCCGTCTTTGATTTATTCGCAAGCTACTGTAAAAGTGTCAGATGTTATCTCTTTATCTTTTCATCGAGATAAAAACAGACGCGTCTGTCATACGGCGAGTGATTATTTATCAGAGAGTAGCAATTTATTTTTTTAATGAATTAAATGTAGAATATTTTGGCTGATGTAACACACAAACAGATATTCGAATTTTTCTCATTATTGATACAAAGGAGTATATAGGCACAAAATGATTTTATATAGGTATGTGTAATAAATTGTATAAAACGGAATGTAAATAGTACAAACAATGTTGAATCAAGGAGTTTGTTTTCGTTTTTAATAATTCGATTGATATCTGTAGTTTAAAGTAAATTGTCGAAAAGATAATTGCATATTAATAACTCGATTAAACTATCCATTATTACAACTAAAAATATTGATATCATGAATATGTTATTAACGTCCGTTAAACATATTATTTTAATTGATTAATGTATTATTTCAAATACATATGTCAAATATTTGGTTAAATTAATATATACATAAATGAGAGAGAATTAACAATAGCATTTTATATTACTTTAATATACTTTTTATAAAAAGTATATTAAAAAAAAAATACTTTTATATAATATAGTACCGGTCAAAATTATATCACCTTTCAATTTTTTGAGTATAACTTTTGTCAAAGTGAAGTGAATACACTCAAATTTATACAGTAGACACTTGGTGGCAGATGAACCTTGTTCGTAAAGTATAATGAGATTTGGCAATGTATACTATTTTTTAATTTTTTACTAATTTTCTCAAAATTGCATTATTGTACTTCCTTTACTTTTCATGATATACATTTTTACCGTCATGACATAACTTTAGTAGTACAGAAAGTCATCATAAACAAGGACGTACAAAAGCTTGTTCAGCAATTTAGCATCTCCAAATCAACAGATCAAGTTTCTTGAGCGTTGAAAGGTGTTGTCGTTCATTTATATATATCTTGATCCCCATGAGTATTTGTCATAATGTAAAACACTAAATCTAACTATTAAAGTTAGGTCATGACGGTAAAAATTACGACTGTATTATGAAAAGTAAAGAAAGTACAATAATGAGATTTTGGGAAAATTAAACTGTAAAAAATATAATGTTAATTTTAATTTCCAGTATAGTGGACTTTCTAAGCATGCAAAAATGTTAAATTAACACAAAAATGTTAATTTTAACTCAGAAATCTCATTACACTTTACATGCAAGATACACTTGTCATTAAGTGTCTATTGTATAAATTTGACCACATTTAATTTATTTTGACAAAAGTTATGCTCAAAAAATCGAAAGATAATATGATATAATTTTGACCGATATATCTTTTTACAATTTTAAAAAATAAGTTTAGTTTATACAAGGAGGGATCCAGGTATGTATTCCGTGGATCATGGAAAATTTGATATTAAGAGATGTAGAGTTTAACATCGTAAAATGTAACATTTAAGAATGTACGTAATATTTAAGAACCAAAAGATCGAAGTTACAAAATTTTAAAGTTTGGAATGGCAGCATGACGGATATCAAAGAAAACAATTAGTTGTTATCGCATGTTCAAAAAACAAGCTAGGTAATGTTTTGTTATTTTTTCCTTAATTATTTCTTTTTACATTCTTAATTTACCTTATGACTCCGCAAATTAAAAAATATTTAAAAAAATTTGTTTTGTAAGAATTATAAACCTTCGTGATAAAAAATAAAAGTAAAATAAGAAAATATTTATTTAAAGGGATCAAAATGTATATTATTTTTTTATAATTAAATATGTACTGTTTAATTAAAACTATGAATTCTTATATATAATAAAATAACACAATTTCAAATCCAAAGTAAAAGATTTAACAAAAATTTGTAATATTATACAATAGACATATTAAAATTAATGTTAAGAAATATTTAACGAATTATTTCTGTGCCACAATAAATTATTATATACATTGCACTTTGAAGGATGATAATTATCATAAAAACATGTATAAAGCAGAGATATTCAGAGCATAAACATTTCATAAATGCTAAAATTTGTTCCTCACACTTACATTTCTGTTGATGTAATGCACGACATAGAAATTTTATATATGATGTGTTTTTATGATAGTTATCATCTTTCAAACTGCATATTCATATAATTCATTATGATACAGCAATAACTCGTTAAATATTTCTTAGCTTTAATTTTAACATGTCTACTGTACAATATTATAATTTTTATTAAATTTTTTATTTTGTATTTGAAATTATATTATTTTATTATAACATAAAAATTCACAGTTTTAATTAAACAATACATAATTAATTATAAAAAAATTAATGTATATTCTGATTGTTTTAAATGACATTTATTTTATTTTATTCCTATTTTTTATGACAAAGATTTATTTATAAAAATAAATTGTTTTGAAATATTTGTCAATTTTTTCATTTTCTGTAGAGTCATAAGATAAATTATGAACGCAAAAAGAAATAAACATTAAAGAAGAAATAGCAAAAAAAGGTATTAATTGTTTCAAATATGCGATAACGACCAGCCGTTTACTATGATAGCGGTCTTCGTTAAGATATAAAACTGTAAAGATAAAAATATTTTTAAAAGCTGCCAAAACACACGCTAAAATGCTAGTTTCAAGTTTTAAAATACACTTGCCTGCAAAAAAGCATTATGCTGAAAATTTTGAAAAAACTTAAAATTTTGAATGTTCAAAACTTGTAAATATTATAATAAAGTAAATATTATAATATTATAATAAAAATATGTTTAAAAATACAAAATGAAGCTTGAAGTGTTCACTTTAAAAATATTTGAATAAGAATTGTACTAGGTCATTATTTTCAAAATGGTAGATAATAAAGTGAGAAAATTAATATACAAAGGATCGAAATTGTGACGATCCATAGCGCAAATCAGATGTCGCAGCCTAATGGAACAAAACGCCCATGAAAATATGATATTTTATCTTTAAAATGCTTTTTCAAAATGGAATTCAATACGATCATTTTTCGTCGAGTTATTCCTAATTTAAAGTGCCGTTATCATAAGCTAAAGTTATGATTGTAATTCATCCCAACATGAACTACATAGAGTTTGACTGATCGGAATTGAATCTCATTGTGCGTATGTGTGACGTATACGTGTGTGCGTATGTGCGCGTGTGCATAAACGTGTGTATGCGAACGTACACACATGCACACACTGTGTACTTTTTTTGCGGATGAATATACTTTTGATGATTTTTTTATCGAATTGTAGTGATCGGAATATTGTGCAATTAAAAATTCCATGTCCTTTTCGATAGTAAGTAGTATACATAATGAAAAATATAAGTAAATATATAAATAAAAACTTAATATAAAAAAACATAACATACACAAATATAGTACTTACAATGCATAATAATACATAAGATATAAAATATAGATATATTAATATCTTTCATTTCGTATATTTTATTATTATTCTGGATAAAAAAATTTACAATTACTTGTTGACAACAAAACGAAATGATAAACTTTATAAATTAATATTATCGAATTCAGATGTCGTAAATGTTACATTGAAAACTCTATACTAATACGGAGTTTTATTAGTATATATAATTATAAAGCAGTATAATTATTATAGTCAAGGTTTTATTCGGCTTGGTGTTGTCTCTTTTGGTACTAAATGGAGTTGAACCTAATTGTTATAAGGTTTTGAATTTAAAAGAGGAACAAACACTTTATGTACAAAATAATAACTATTCGGATTATGGAGGTGAAAACATTTGCACTTGGGAATTTTACAGCGAAATTATTATTAAAGCAAAATGTTATATTGATCTAGTAAGTTTGTTATATAAATTTTGTTTGAAATTGGGATATACATATATCTTAATTAGATTTGTAAGCATATTATAAAAATTTTATTCAAGTTTAGTATTTGTATTATTATAATTATTGCCAAAGTTAGAGAAAGACAAAAAGAACGCGCATGTGCACGCGCGCGCAAATAATTTAAATTATTTTACAGAATGGTGACTGTAATGAAAATATATTTTTTGTTAATAATGGAAAGTCTTCTTATATCAATTGTGGTCAGGATGTAATTACCTTCGAAGGATTTAATTTAATTATAATGTTTGAGTCGGCATTTAATCAAAGTCGATTTATATGTGAAATTAAAACTCCCTGTCAGTGTGGTAAGAAAAAAGTGGTAAGTTAAATTAAATTTTGAAATGCTACTTATATTTATTGAAATGTTTTGATTTATTTCGTACTTATTGCTTCACGCGAAAAAAAATAAATTAGGTGATTACAGCAAAGCTACAGCTTACTGCGCGAATTCAACATCTATAACTATAAAGAAGATTTGATGATTTAACAAATCGCTAATGTTATTCAGAGAGTTGTCAACTTTGCTACTTTAACATAGAAAACTGACTATCCATATATTACGATAGTAGATTTGTTGAATCAGTGAAATTTTTATTTTTTTTTCCGTATTCTTTGTAATTTAACTTTAATCAACTATGTAAGAATTTATTAAAAATAGTAATTTGTTTAGGGGATTAATATATTATTTACATTGCTTACTTATTGTTAGACTAGAATAGTAGGCGGTCAGGAAACCGGAGTAAATGAATATCCTTGGATGTGTGGGATTGTGGATCGTACAGGCATATTTTGCGGTGCTTCTATAATACATGCTCAATATGTATTAACAGCAGCCCATTGCCTGTACAAAGTAAACATTAATGAGATTTTATTAATTGTTGGCGAACATGATGTAACCACAGGTAATCGTTGATAAGATATATACATATCTAAATAATATTTAAAGGCTATAAATTTTTGAAAGATATTAAACAAATGAAATTTATGATTACAGTTGCAATAATTAAATTGAATACTAAAACTATTTTCTGCTTGTAATACAAATTTATTTGAAAAAGTTAATGGGGGGAAACTTTTTTATAATTTTTTTGTTATTTTGAAAAAAGATGTTTTCATAGGAAGGGAGTAAATATTATTTTTTATTTTTTTTTTATTTGATCATAAATGTAGTACTTCATTCTTTTACTGAATTGAAACTTTTTATTCAAAATTACGAGGGATGAGTAACTAATAATGAAGTAATGAAATAATTTAATATAAATAGAGTTTAGAACATTATCATTTATATGTATTAGGTATTGGAATTAATTCGTAGCGTTTTACAAGTGATGGGAAGTACTTTCATTAATGTATTTTTTAATGCTCATGTGAAATAAATAACATTCTTTCATTAAAAAACGCTACGAATTAATTCCAACACCTAATAAAAAATAATAAATGTAATGAAATAAGCATCGTTTGTTAATATAAAATTTTTACAGTATAATATAAGGTACATAATTTAATATCGAAGTTTATACTAAATTTGTACATTATACTTTGCGGATAGGTAACGATACCAAAGCAAGCAGGATTTATAAGATACAGGAATGTAAAATTCATCCTGAATACAATTTTATAGAAAATGGTTATAATGATATAGCTGTTTGTAAGATTGTTGGAAAAATCGAATATAGCGCTGCGGTTGGTCCGGTTTGCTTACCATTTAAATATAAAGATTACTCATTCATTGGTAATATCGTCACTGCGTTGGGTTAGCATTTCCTTAGTATTTTTATAGTTAATAATAATATAATAATTTGTTTTAACATCATTCAATCTTTAGGCTGGGGTTCAACAGAATTTGGCGGCGAGCCATCCGATGTGCTCCAAGAAGTAGATTTAGAAGTAGTAAATAATAAATACCCAAATAGCAACGATAATAACATATTGTATACTTTTTCTCCAGGAAAGGATACGTGTCAGGTGAAGAATTAGTTTCTTTATTGTGAATTTAAATATCAATTAAATATACAAAATGTATTTTTGAAGAATTGTAATGCAAAAAACTATCTTTAAATAGATTTCTTCTTTTTCTGTTTGTGTAACTTAGATGGATAGTGGTGGACCTCTTTTATGGGATAATCATACAAATCATATGAAATTGGTTGGTATTGTATCTAGTGGTGTGGGCTGTGCTTCAAACGAATCTTCTCTAAACATGCGTGTAGGTGCTTTTCTCAACTGGATAGTATCTGTAACTCCAGGTAAAAGTTGGCGGAAAAAAAGGCGAATTAGAAGTATGAAAACTTTATCATTGTAAAAAAGGATCGATGTAATATGTATCGTTATTTTTATTATAGACGCACAATATTGCGTAACTGAATGAGCCTTGCATGGTTAATAAGAAGAACCGTTTTAGAAGATTATGGATCTGTGCTGACGCTTTATTATATGTATTTACTATTATATACTTTTAAAAATATATACAATATATATTTTAATTATATCTGCTATATATATATTAATATATACATGTATGTATAAATATATGTGTCATGTATATGTGAGTGTATGTATACTCGCGCGCGCGCGCGCGCGCACACACACACACACACACACACACACACACACACACACACATACACACACATACATGTGCGTAAAATATGTATAATGTAGATGTATAAAATTTCAATTATACGTTTTCAATATTCTATTGTATCTGCTTTAATACAAATATTACAACTTGAGCATAATTTGTTGTTTATTATTTATTGCTATTTTTGCCATTTATAATTATATTTTATCTTTTCGATCCATTCCTTTCACGATTAAAATTTATCTGCTTGAGTTGAAATTCTGATGTAATTTTCATGTTTTTGAGGTGGAGGGAGGGGGAGGTAGTTTAACAGATGTAATACGAAATTAATACGAAAAGCACACTTTATAACACTAAAACATAACGTTTAAAGAGACAGGTTTATAAAAATAGTCTTTTATTTATATATTACTAATACATTTTCTATACAAATTCAATTTTTTTTTAACAGAAATTTGAATAGTTTAATAATTATATTCTTCTATATATTTAAACGGATTGTTAACTATGTATTAAAATTTAAATCTTTATTATATAAAAAACTGGAATTGTACTTCACTTCTTTCTTATAAAACTATCTACTAAGAATACTTAGATAATAAACGTTATCGTAACACACGATTCAATGTTCATACTAGTTAATTTGGAGACATGGTATGGTGTCTCAGCGCTAAACAAGCACAGCGACGTCATGACGCGAGACTGCTCCTTTACTCGAGTCGACGATTTGCGGCGGACCGAGATTATCGGATCTCAATAACGATTGAACTAATCAAGTTCTATATACGTTCAATCGATAGCTTCCACTCGGATTGTATAATAAAAGTGCTTTTATTTTTTCTCTATGTGTCCTGTGAGCGGAGATATTGCGATGCAAATCTCTGAATCTTTGAATTTGATCATCATCTTTAAGAAACGTCGTTATTATTATTAAATTGTCAATCACTCAGAATGTATGGCTAGAATTTTTGGCGCAAGAGGCGCTAGGCGATGCACAGTCGGATGCATTTGAAAACATTGTCAATGTCGAACGCAGTCATGCTTTGCATTTTACACATTCTACACTCCGCAGAAATCAGGAGTGCGTTTGGAGAGCGCACTATCAGTGCTATTTGTATCATACTATCATATGTTTCTTGAGCATGACATTGCATTGGTCTGCTATGTTAGAGGTCCCGAGTTCGATTTCCAGTAAAACCAAAAATATTTTCATATGTTCGTATCTCTTCTCGGAAGGAAACCCATCGAGAGTATCTTTGTCAAGAGCACTTCTCTAACACAATTTCGTCGTTCGAAATCGACGTTAAACTGTAGATCTCATGATTGTGTACAACCATCGTGTGCCTCACAAACATATGACAGAAATCACTACGGCATTACTTGTGGCTCGGCCACAAGTAATAGGAAGAGCATCCTTGTTTCGTCTATCTCAATAACGGTTGAACCAATCAAATTTCATGTATGCTCAATGAGTATACGAAATGAAAATGAAGTTATTTTATGTTCATGTCATGTCGTGAGTGAGAATTACGATCTAGTTTTAAGAAATGCAATGGAGCAAGCACATGTCGTGAGTGATAACGAACTTCTTTTATGCAGTCCATTATAAGTTTGATCACGCATTCGCGAAGAAATTGAACGAATACGTGTGGGTCTCAACATATGCATGTATACATACACGCGAAAAATACTATCAGTGATTATTCACTAATTCATTGAAAAAATGTACCATTCGATGCGTTTTTTTTTGTGAAACGGATAAATTAAGCAGAAAAAAAGTGTCGCTCAATTATATTAAATTAGTTATTAAATATTGAAATATATACTTAAATATTTAATTCAAGATTAATGATAAAAATTATGAGGAAAAACGTGAAGCTCTTAATTAACTGGGAATTAATTCGTGTTCCCTTTTACGTATAAAATGAAAATCCACTTTTTTAGATAGTCACCAATTTTTTCAATATTAAGAGGGGAAGTGTGAGATAACGCGATAGATACAAATTTTAATGAAATAAAAATTCGTCCCTCTCGACATTCGTTTTCTAAATTGAAATGTTTTAAACGTTTGTCTTTCAAACCTTTTGAATTTGTACATATACCTATCCGCCTTTGTAGAGTGGATTGATGTATCGATGTCATCACTACGCTAACTCTGATTCAATTCGTAAAAGCTGCGCGTGGCTCGGCTCGCGTGTGCATACCTTGTTAATTGAGCATTGTTCAGATCGTTACGTCTATACGGCGTAATGGAAAACGATAGCTGTGGTTTGCAATGCGACACGCCGCGGCGATAATAACTCCGAAAGGGCGAAACACGCTGCGCACGCTTCGTTACGGATATTCTCTAACGAATCGATGCGGCAGAGAAACGTTGGTTATGCGTCGACAGCACCTGCGACGGAAAAAAATTGCAAGGATCTCTTGTCGTTTAATAAACGATTGCGCCGTAGATGTACTTGGATAATGGAGAATATACGCTCCGTCAAATGCGTTCTCTATATAAAAAGATTTCCCTCAAACACTCCGTTTGACATTTAAATAGCTGTTGACGTAATTTCTGTGTACATAAATAATCTAAAAAGATTTTTTTTTTTTATTTATTTGATAAATGTGACAAAAATTCCACATGTATGCATGTAAAGTTCATAATTTTATTCTTTTTGCGAATATTTAATCATGTATGAATAATAATATAATTTTAGTTTTTGTATTTTGGCCATGTTGTTTGTTCGATATTGACTTGGGAATGTAATTTTATTCTGTATTTATCATTCGTTTTTATTCAAAAGCAAGTAATAGAAACCAGTAACAATCAGTATTTCTAATTTAAATTTTTAATTTAAAAAGATCAATACAATTTATTCAAATCTGCACATGTGAAAGAGAAGAAAAAGAGAAAAAGGGACAGAGATTTTTCCAACTTTATTTCAAAAAAACTTGGGAAATATAAAACTATAATTTTGTGGATCTCTAGCAAAAATCCGCAAAACTTTTCGCAATAATCGCCCAAGATTTATCACACTCTTATGTCACGAGGCACATCTTCACGCCTTTCGCCCCTTTCAATTTCTAATCACGTTCAATTGTTTTATTATCTTTTGCTGAGTCTTGAAAGTTTCAGTAGCCAAACTTGTTGCAATTTGCTGCAAGTTCAAATGATTTGGCAAGAAATCTCCCGGCAGGAAACTCCGCACCAACGTACATCTCTGCCGTATTTCCCGGCAGACTCATATACAGCAGACACTAATTTATTATGCGATGCACGAGGTTAACCGTATTCGAGAATTTTTCATTGCTTGAACTTTTTTGCAAAATTCATATGAAATTCGTAATATTTGTACGTAGCAAAATATTAATTTTGATATACAAGAAATCCTAAAAAGAACGTACGAAAGAATTTAGAGTATACATATAATTATACGTGTCTATGGATATATTTAAATTAGAGAAAAATTATCGTATGAGAAAAATTATGTTAAAGTAAAAACTATATTTAAATTTAAATTTATAATTTTTAACTCTTAATACACGACTTTTTAGTCTTTTATTACGGTGAGTCGTTCTGTCTCCAGTTAATTTTCATTACTTTTATATTAACTCTTATGGTAACAATTGTCTTACGCTTCTTTGAAATATCAAGAGTACTTGGCGAAAATGCATTTTATCTTTATCCTTTTCTTTTTTTTAAATACACAACTTTACAAATACGTTCTAAAAAATTTAACAAATTTGTTTAGTATTTGTAAAGTTGTGTATTTAAAAAAAGAAAAGGTAAAGATAAAATACATTTTGTGAGTGATAAAAACAAGTCAAAACGATTCATCATGTATAATAAAAGATCGGATTATGTAATTAAAGATTATGTATTGTATATAAAAATATATTAGGTGTTGGAATTAATTCGTAGCGTTTTTTAATGAAAGAATGTTATTTATTTCACATGAGCATTAAAAAATACATTAATGAAAGTACTTCCCATCACTTGTAAAACGCTACGAATTAATTCCAACACCTAATATTTTCACATATACTCTTTAATATCTTTAGAAAATATTTGTAAGTTTCCGTATTTAAAAAAATAATATATAAGTATTATAACTAATTACTTGGTGCTCCTTATTTAAAAAAAAAGAAATATGCAAGACATTGAATGACCTAATTATGTGTACTAAGAATTAATTTTGAAATTATGAATTTCATTTTCTTTTTTATTCATATCAAGAGAAATGTATTGTAGAACATGAATTAAATTAACTAATTATAGAACATTTCTTAATTTCTTGCGAAATCATCTAATGGTTCACGTAAAAATGGTTCACGATCATTTCTTCTCAAAATGCTTGAACGGAATGTTAAATTGCCGAACATGCAAAGATAAAAACACTATCTTCCGTCATTTGAGTTTCACCAATCTAATTTCGTATATCGACGATACCTCTCGGCGACAGGAATCCATCTCGTTTCGGTAAATGTGATAAGGGAGATTTATCCTGTCTTCACATTGGGAAGCGCGATTAATCTTCGGTGTGGCACGGTCAGCGACATCGAGCATATTTCCAGTTGGGTTTATACTTTGCCGGTTTATAAATGAAATCCAAATACAAATCGATGGTTTGAAAATGGTTCGCGTATTCGCTATTCACGGCCGAGAATCATCGCCGGAAAATAAATTGGAAAGTTTCGACCAGAATCGACCGACCGCGCGTTTCGTTTCCGCGCTACGCTTTTATAGAATGCAATTGCACGGAACTCATCCGCGGTCACACTGGCTGGTAAATCATTCTCGGACAAACGCCGAAATATTTGAAACGTCGAAAAACAAGAAAATTGTACGGAAAAACGGAAAGATACTTCTTAATTCTTTAATGTGATTCATCTATAATATGTTTTCGTTGAGAAGTTCATTT